CCTCCGGCGCCGCCCCTGGCGCGCTCCGCACGCCAGGGAGGGGGGGTCCAGCGCCGAGCCGAGAAATCCGCGCGGACCTCCGAGTTTTTATGTTTATGTCACTTTTGGTTCCCCTAACCGCGCCAGCCTCGGTGCCGCCATGCTTCCTCCCCGCGCGCGCGGGAGCGGGCGCGGCGCGGTTCCGCTCCGAGCTGTAGGGCGTGTTTTTGTTTATATAGTATAGTATATACACACATATATATATATTGGCTTTAAAGAAAATATTATCCCGGCAAAGCAACCTAACAGCGATGTGTAGGAGCATATCTGGAAGCATTCCCCTTAAGATTCAGATGAGAATCCAGTTGTAGAATTCTGCTGTTCCCGCAGTCGTAGTCGCATTCGCGATGACAGTCGCAGTGGCAACGGCAGTCGCAGTCACAGCCTCAGCCTCAGCCTGCCTCAGCCTCAGCCTCAGCCTGCCTCAGCCTCAGCCTGCCTCAGCCTCAGCCTCAGCCTGCTTCAGCCTCAGCCTCAGTCTGCCTTCAGCCTCGGCCTCAGCCTCAGCCTGCCTCAGCCTCAGCCTGCATCAGCCTCAGCCTCAGCCTCAGCCGGCCTCAGCATCAGCCTGCCTCAGCCTCAGCCTCAGCCTGCCTCAGCCTCAGCCTCAGCCTGCTTCAGCCTCAGCCTCAGTCTGCCTTCAGCCTCGGCCTCAGCCTCAGCCTGCCTCAGCCTCAGCATGCATCAGCCTCAGCCTCAGCCTCAGCCTGCCTCAGCCTCATCAGCCTGCCTCAGCCTCAGCCTCAGCCTGCCTCAGCCTCAGCCTCAGCCTGCTTCAGCCTCAGCCTCAGTCTGCCTTCAGCCTCGGCCTCAGCCTCAGCCTGCCTCAGCCTCAGCCTGCATCAGCCTCAGCCTCAGCCTCAGCCTGCCTCAGCCATCAGCCTGCCTCAGCCTCAGCCTCAGCCTGCCTCAGCCTCAGCCTCAGCCTGCTTCAGCCTCAGCCTCAGTCTGCCTTCAGCCTCGGCCTCAGCCTCAGCCTGCCTCAGCATCAGCCTGCCTCAGCCTCAGCCAGCCTCAGCTGCTCAGCCTCAGCCTCAGCCTCAGCCTCAGCCTCAGCCTCAGCCTCAGCCTCAGCCTCAGCCTCAGCCTCAGCCTCAGCCTCAGCCTCAGCCTCAGCCTCAGCCTCAGCCTCAGCCTCAGCCTCAGCCTCAGCCTCAGCCTCAGCCTCAGCCTCAGCCTCAGCCTGCCTCAGCATCAGCCTGCCTCAGCCTCAGCCTCAGCCTGCCTCAGCCTCAGCCTCAGCCTCAGCCTCCTCAGCATCAGCCTGCCTCAGCATCCAAAATGTGGCCCGGGAATGGAGTTCTGGGAACTCGAAGAACACGAAGTGGCCTACAGTTGGCTCCGGGCATTCAAAATCATGCCCAGGAATGGAGTTCTGGGAATTCGAAGAGCACGAAGTGGCCTACAGTTGGCTCCGGGCATTCAGAATGTGGCCCGGAATGGAGTTCTGGGAATTCGAAGAGCACGAAGTGGCCTACAGTTGGCTCCGGGCATTCAAAATGTGGCCCGGGAATGGAGTTCTGGGAATTCGAAGACCACGAAGTGGCCTACAGTTGGCTCCGGGCATTCAAAATCATGCCCAGGAATGGAATTCTGGGAACTCGAAGACCACGAAGTGGCCTACAGTTGGCTCCGAGCATTCAAAATCATGCCCAGGAATGGAGTTCGGGGAATTCGAAGACCACGAAGTGGCCTACAGTTGGCTCCGGGCATTCAAAATCATGCCCAGGAATGGAGTTCTGGGACCTCGAAGACCACGAAGTGTGTAATTGTTTGCTTAAAACGACTTCCGCGGCTTCTCCCCGGCACCCGCCCAGACCCCTTTGGGGAGTCAAGATGTTCTCGCTTGACACTACTAGAAACCTATCAGTCTTCGCTGTTAGGTAAAAAAAGTTAATAATAAGAATAAGAAGAAGAAGAAGAATGATAATAATAATAATAAACAAAAAAAGGAGGTGGCGGCATGCGAACTCAGCCATTGGGGCCTTAGGTGAAGCCCTCTTGTGGGGCCGCGAAGCGTGCGAGGGGTGTGCCAAAGTAAGCTAGGTGGCAGCATGCGAACGCATCCATTGGGGCCCTAGGTGGAGCTCCATACGAGGCCATGAAACGTGTGAGGGGTGTGCCAAAGTGAGGAGAGTGGCAGCATACGAACGCAGCCACTGGTGCCTTCGGTGGAGCCGCTTTTGGGGGGCCACGAAACGTGTGAGGGATGTGCGAAAGTGAGGGGTGGCGGCATGCCAACGCAGCCACTGAGGCTTTAGGTGCAGCTCCCTATGGGACCACCGAGCGTGTGAGGGGTGTGCCAAAATGAAAGGTGGGGCTGCATGCGAACGCAGTCAGGAGCCCCCGATGGGGCCACGAAACGTGTGAGGGGGTGGCGGCATACGAACGCAGCAACTGGGGCCTTCGGTGGAGCTCCCTATGGGGCCACAAAACGTGTGTGGGGTGTGTCGAAGCAGAAACGTGAAAGTGGAGGGGATGTGACGGCGATGATGATGACGATGATGATTCTGAGGACATGCGGAGGGCAGAAGCGAGGCTGGGAGGAGGGAGGAGCGGGAGGAGGAGGAGGAGGAGAGAGGATGAGAGGGGGTGACGCGGGGACTGTCTCTTCAAAACGAGGACCCAACATCACAGGATGGTTGGAAAAAGGATTCACCATTTATGTTCGTGGACACAGTGATCATGTCCATGTCGGCCTCGATTCGGACATCACCCTCTACGATCACAGGATAAAAAGGCAGCGTTATCCTCAACCAGATAGAAGTGCCCTGCGGTATTCGAAATGTGCCCCACTTGGTACCACGTGCCCCAACTTGCCCCACGTGGGCAGGTAAGGCAAGTGGGGCAAGTGGTGCCAAGTGGCCTCCCTCGATGTCTAGACGTCCACGTTTGAGCCCGCGCGGGCGGTCGCGGCAAGCGGGGCACGCGGGACAGGCCAAGATGCATCGAGCATGGCGCAAGCCGGGGCCACTACAGGCCAAGACTACAGCGCCGACGTGAAGCGCCTCGGCAAAGGGCACGGGCTGGGCCCCCCGCATTGTTACGTAGCGCACTCGGCTGTCGAGGCGGCGGCCGTCATGTTCGACGAAAATGACAAGGCCCAGTACCACAGCAGGGGGAGTCTGAAAGAATGTCTGGCCACAGCGAGCGGAGAGCACGGTGTTCGGGTAGACACCACGATCAGCAGGCGAGGTTCATGGCCAAGAAAGCGTACCAGAGGGAGGGCGACACGGAGGATCTGTACAAGATCGTGCTCGGCACCAGGCCCACGGCGAACTTCAACACCGCACCCGAGGGCAGACAAAGCGCCGAGCGAGGTGGTCGAGCAGGTGCGCCGATTTGCCCCCGACGTGATGCGCGACGTCCTGAACCACGCGCGGTGCGTCCACGCCGCTCTCCTTTTCGTGCTCCCCCCGTTGCCCCCTCGGCCTCCTGGTCCTGCTGCTCCTCCTCCTCCTCCTCCTCCTCCTCCTCCTCCTCCTCCTCCTCCTCCTCCATCTCCTCGGGGGCAGGGCCGCAGACGAAGTTGGAGAGGGCAGTGGAGGCGCAGCCCTAGCAGCTGGTGAAGCAGGGCGCTCTCACGGAGAAGGGCCAGCTCGTTGATTACCCCAGACAGTTCGCGATATTGCCCACGACCACATACGACATCAAGTGCCCCGCCAGCTGGCAACAGGTGGCAGCTCGCATTATTCTAGACGTCTTCCAGATGTGAGGGCCTACAGAAGTGAACTGGAAGCGAATTTGACATGCGATAGGCTTGCATCGAATGCCGCTCCCAGCGACAGCGGTTCGCCGCCACACAGCGGTAGCTGAGCCGCACCCGATACTGTACATGTTTCTACCCAGCGGGACCCTTCCCGCTAACGGGGCATGCGCTCGCGGTCAGGCACTGCTGCGCTCGCCTCAAGCTTAGGCGGTCTATAGCCGAATCGCCCAAAGATTCGTCGAAAGAGTTTTCAATTAACGATTGCAGGCGAAATTGCCTCCATGCAGAAATGAGGGGCCTACGATCGTGGCGTTCTGTTGCAGAGGAGAGACAGGCAGCCACCTACTGAACACCTAGGAGGGCCGAGACCTGATCAACCGCGCTCTCGCGGCCGAGGGCCAGGCGGTCCACCACAGGGGCGTGGCCGAAGGCCACGCGGACTGGCTCGAGGAGGTGGTAGACCACGGGACGAAGACGCCCGAGTAGTGAACCCGCTCCTTTGCCAGAGCGAGCCTGCACGGCACAATGCAAGCACAAACGGAGAGGACACAATCCAGCGCCGTGTTATTTTTGTCCGAGGCGAAGTCCTCCCTGCTAGCAGTAGCACGGTCACGGTCACGTACCTTCCCGCCTCCGACGTGCCTCCACCTCTCCCCACTGCCGTGCCTGCACAAGCAGAGGAGCTACGTGAGGTGGAGGCCCCACCTGAGTTCGATACAATCGCCGAGGATGAAGCGGCCGAATACCTTTTTTCAGCTAGCATCCGAGACGTTGCTTGGCACGCGCAGCGCAGGAATCCCCTCTGCGCAGCACCCTGGCAGCGTGGCCCACGCGGGGCAGTACGAGACAGTTGGCTCTCTGCGACGGATCATTAAGTATGGATTCGCTGCACGCCACATCTTACCATCAGATGTTTGTCCTGACGTCGAGGAAAAAACATCAGCATCATCATAATCCGTCCTCTCCTCCCTCATTATCCCCTTCTCTCCATGCCCCATATTATCCATTATCCCACAGTCCTGCTCTGCAGGAGGAGGTGCATTGGGGGAAGCGAAGAGGGATGAAGAGCACCAGCAGCAGCAGCAGCAGAAAGGGAAGTCAGGAGCAGCAGGATATCGTGCAGGACCGCCAGCTCCGACGACCCCTCGGCCCGAGGAAAGAGGAGGATGCGAAGGGGGGAGGAGGACGAGGAAGAGGAGGAGGAGGAGGAGGAGGCCAGCTGTAAGGCTAAAGTCCGTTAAACGCTAAGAAGGAGGACAGGGGAGGAGGAGGAGGAGGAGGAGGAGGAGGAGGAAGAGGAAGAGGAGGAGGAGGAGGAGGAGCGTTCGCCCAAAAGGCGCAGGTCGTCAAGGCACCTGAGCTCCATTACGTCTGAGTTCTCTTGGAGGTTCCTCAGTATGTCTTCTAGTGCGCATGCACCCATTGTGCATCATTCCGACTGTGCCGAGGCCAGTTGTACAGTTCAAGTATGTTCAACGTGAAAGGGTGGAAGGGGAAGAAGAGGATAATAGTCTCGGATATCACGAACGGCAGGGGCGGGGAGGACGAGGAGGAGAACAAGGGGAAAAGGAGGAGGAGGACGACGAGGAGGACGAGAAGGACGCGGAGGAGAAGGAGGAGATGGAGGAAGAGGGCCAGGAAGAGGGGAGGGAGGAAGGGAGGAGGGGGAGGAGGGCGAGGAGGCAGGGAGGGAGAGCGAAGAGGCAGGGAGGGAGAGCGAGGAGGCAAAGAGGGAGGAGGAGCAGAGGGAGGGAGTCGCCGCGCAGGACCGCCAGCACCGACGCGGGCGGCGGCGGCGGCGGCGGGTTCTACGCGCAGCAGCGGGAGGCGCAGACCGCGCCGGCGGCCGGCGGCTTCTACGCACAGCAGGCCGCGGGGAGCGGAGGAGCCAGCCGCCTCCGGTTTCTGTTCCGCTGGCCGTCTCCGATCGCTGCTCCGCCTCGTTGTCTTGTCCTCCTGTCTACCCTTGTGACTGTAGTTATGTGTACATCGATATGAGTGTGTCTACATGTGTGTGTACATGTATGGGACGGCCCCGCGAGAACCCACACAGGCCCCAGACACCCACCAGACGCCCGAAGACGACCCAAAGAAGACTCCCAAGAGGCATTCGAAACGCAAAAAACAATGACTTCCTGTGGTTATTGTCTGATTTTTGGGCTGCTCAGTTCTCCGGTCTTCTCGGCGTCCGAGACCGCCCAGGAGGCCAGAGAATCGCCCCAAATTTAACCACGCGGGCTTCCAGGAAGTCCAAGAGGAGCCCCAAGACGGCCCAACAGGGCCCCAAGATGGCCTGATGAGAGCCCCATGACGGCCCAAGATGGCCCAAAGACGAATCCCGAATCATTCTAAATCGTGACCCGGTCGTTCAGGGAGACCGCGGTTGGAAGCAGAGTGGCCCAGGGAAGTTCCCAGAGGCCCCCAGAAGGAACCCAGGAGGCTTCCAGAAGGCCCCAACAAGCCCATAAAAACCATCGTGAGACTTATAAGAAGCTCTCCTGGGATGAGCCTCCACAAGAAGAGCGAGGATGGGGCCAAATTCGCAGGGTAGGGCGAGAATTAGGAATAGGAAGAGGAAGAGGAAAAATGCGGGAAGGATTGCGAATCATATTATTACAACGACGATGCCAGAAAAGGTAACCACAAACTACCGCTAAATGGTCCATTTTACATGTTTGCCATTGTTCCTGCATGCCAAGCCTCAAGGACCGAAGTGCATGGCGCGAAGCGCCAGTGCAGTCGCATATATATATATATATATATATGCATATATATATATGAGTATATGTATATATGTATATATGTATTCATATATACATACATACATACATACATACATACATACATACATACATACATACATACATACATACATACACACATACATGCACACTACACACATACATACATACATACAGACAGACAGACAGACAGACAGGCACACAGACAGACAGACAGACAGACAGACAGACAGACAGACAGACAGACAGACAGACAGACAGACACACATACACACACATGCACACACACATACATACATGCATGCATACATACATGCATGCATACACACATACATACACACATACATACATACAGGCATACGTATGTACATACATGAATGCATGCATGCATGCATGCATGCATACATACATTCACCTACATACATACATACATACATACGTGCATGCATACATACATGCAAACATACACATACATAAATTATACATACATTCATACATACGTATGTGCATACATGCATACATACGTACACATATACATTGATGCATACACACACCTACAGACATACATGCATACATACACACACATACATACATATACACATACAGACAGACAGACAGACAGACATACATACACATACATCTATACAGTCTGGCCTCTCCTTCTGCCTCGCCGTTCTCTCCACTGCTGCCTTGCCACCGCCTTCCTATTCGCAGGGGCCCTTGCGCACCGTGGCGCGCCAGGAACACCGCCCGTGGGCGCGCGCGAAAGAAAAAAGAGAACGCCGCCTCGTCCTCGCTCCTCCTCCTCCTCCTCCTTATCCTCCTCCTCCTCCTCTTACTTATCCTCCTCCACATCCTCCTCCTCTTCCTCCTCCTCCTCCTTCTCCTCCTCCTACTTATCCTCCTCCTCCTTCTCCTCCTCCTCCTCCTCCTCTTGTATCCTATGTTTCCCTCTGCCTCACCACATGGTATCCTCTTTCTCGTCCTGTTGCTCCTCCTTCGCCGCCTCCTTCTCCTCTTCATCCGCTTTCTCCCCCTTCTCGTCGTCATCATTACCATCACCGTCGTGATCAGCATCCTGTCCACTGTCGGCGTCTTCACGTCCGTCATCAACAAGCGTCGCCATCATGAGCATCATCAGTGTCGTCGCCGTAACCATCTCCATCGTCCTGCCCTTCCTTACCACCACCACTGTATTGTTCCTCCTCCTGCTCCCTTCACCCAGCCCCCCCCCATCGTTACCAGCATCCTCATCCTAATCATCAGCATCCTCGCCTGCATGGTCATAACCAGCCTCATCACCATCATCATCAGCATCGCCATCATCAGCATCACCATCACAGTCATCGCCACATGATCCTCATCATGACCATCACCATCAGCATCACCATCGTCATCATCATAACCACATTTTCCTCCTGATGCTATTTACTCCTCCTGTTCGGCATGTTCCCCGCCTGCGTCTTACGCTTGTGACCTCTTCCCCCCCCGTCGGTGGGGCCGCGGCCGTTGGGACGCCATCCACCTCCTCGCCCTCCTCCTCATCTTCCTTCTCCTCCTCCTCCTCCTGTTCCTCCTCATCCTACTCCTCCTCCGCTTCCTCTTTTTCCTCCTCCACCCATTCTTCGTCTATGCAAGTCGTCCCTGTTGCACCCCCAAACGTGTCGGCAGGGCGGACCAAGTGTTTCGCTTCAGACTTCCTCGCCAGCTATGATCCTGAAGCTTGAACCTCACAACAGGTTCAAACATAGAGGGCGGCTGGTTTTCAAAATGCGGGTTGCGCTTCAGTGGTGGGCACATTCGTCCTCACAAGCTTGCAGCAGCTTCATGGATGGAGGGCGGGTCGTTTTCGAAATGCGGTTCTCGCCTCAGCGCCGCGCACATTCATGTGAAAAGTGTGCAACTGCTTCAAGCATTGAGGGTGGGTGGTTTCCAAGATGCGGTTATCGCTTCAGCACCGTGCACTGTTTGTACAGTGTGCAACAGCTTCACGGATGGAGGGCGGGTCGTTTTTACAACGTGTTTCTCGCTTTAGCGCCACGCACAGTCGTGTGAAAAGTGTACAACAGCTTCGAGGATGGAGGGCGCGTGGTCTTCAAAATGTGGTTCTCGCTTCAGCGCCGCGCACACTTGCTTTAAACGTGTGCAACGGCTTCACGGATTGAGAGTGGATCGGTTTGAAGATCTGGTTCTCGCTGTAGCGCCGCGCACCTTCGTTTCTAGAGTTTGCAATGGCTTTTAGGATGGAGGGCGGCTCCGTTTCAAGATGTGGTTCTCGCTGTAGCGCCGCGCATGTTCGTTGTAAGAGTTTCCAACAGTCTTAAGGATCCGTACGTTCGAAGTTCCTGAAATGCGTTCGGGCATGAATTAGGACTGTCAGGACCGATTCACCTTGATTCGCGGTGTAGAAGTCCCTGGAATGACGTTTTGGCAGGTTTTCGGGTTGTCAGGACGCAACACTCACGTTGATCCGCGGCGCTGGCGTCCCCAGACGTGCGTTTGGGCACGCTTGAACATTCTCAGACCTTTGTCTTCTGATGACCTACCTCCCGCAATGAAAATAACTGTTTTGGGGGAGGGTGTACTGCAGCATCGTTAATGCGTCTTGGTTTAACCTTGGCTCTTCTCTTCCTCCTCCTCCCCCTCCTCCTCCTCTTCCTCCACGTCCTTTTCGGCTCAATTGCCCCGAACAACGAGCCAACGATGACGCGGGCGCCCTTGCCCTACTCTGTGGCCGCGGCCCTCGCGGAGCTGCCAGCCATCAGCGGGCGCCAGCGCATGGCGCGTAGGACCCTGTCGAGCTGCAAGAGACCAGGTTCAATGCAAACGGGGGTCAGCCAGAGCGCCGGATCTTGCAGGATCTTGCAGGGCCAGGGTTGCGCAGACCAGGGCTAGGGCGCAGGACCCTGGTAGGATCTTGCAGGATCTTGCAGGATCCTGCACGGCCTGACTGGCTCTGGTGTGGATTGACCTGGGTCAGCGGCTCCCCGAATTTTGTTCGGCTGCTATCTGGGGCCCTTAGATCGAAAAACAAAAGAAGGCATAAGCTTAAGCGGACCTTCTCGAGATTATGTTTGTGCCTGTCTGTTATTCTTCTGTTCAAGGGAGCCTCGCTCATCGAGCCCCCGGCGAGCGCGGCGGCGTCAGCGGCGAGCTGGGCTCTCCTGCTCCACCCCTCGGACGGGGAGCCCGGGAGCACGGGGTTGCACAGCGAGGGCGTCGCCGTGGACCTCGACCAGTGTTTGTGGCCGCCGCTTGAGGCTTGAAGGCCGCCTCGTGCCACGAGCAGAGCTGGGATTTTCGCGCTCGCAGTCTGTCCAGGCCTCTTAGATGGGGTCGGAGTAGATGGGGTCGGAGGATCACGCCGCATCGGCGATGCATCGCCGATGCGGCTCGATGTGAGGCCAGATTTGCTGCACGCCGACGCCGCCGATGCATCGCCCACGTCGACGATGCATCGCCGATGCATCGCCGATACATTGCCGATGCATCGCCGATGTAGCGGCGATGCGGCGCGATCCTTCGACCGCATCTACTCCGACCACATCTAGGAGGCGTCCAGTCTTGCAGCCGTGCGTGAGCCATCCCCACGCCTGTTTCGAGATTCGTGCTCTCGCCTCAATTGCCAGCCGGCTACACGTTTGGTCCGGGCGGCCACAGTCGTTCAAGAGCGGCTAAGGTTAAGTCGGGCTTGTCTCTACAGGGGGAATATTCAAAAATTGTCAAAAAATAGTCTGGGGACGATTTGTTGAGCATTTTTTGGCAATTTTGGAGTATTTTTAGGGTATTTTTAGTTTTTCGTCGGAAATCCCCTTGTAGGGGGACACGCCCGACTTAACTGTAGATGGACCACCCTTGCTGCCGAATGTCCCAGGCCGTACTCTCTTGCGTCTCGCTGGCGCCGTTGGACCTCGGGCGCGAGCGCTCCAGGCCTCCGCGAATCGCCCCTCGATCGCTCACGCTGGGAGACCACCTTCTGGGCACGCCTGGCTGCAGGGGCAGTCTGCACTTGCTGGTACACTTCACATGGGGGAGCAAAGAAGAAGCGCTGAGCAGCCGCACCGAATGCGCGCGCTGGTCAGTCCCGCGCTCCAGCGCTCCAGGTCCCAGCGGCAGTCACACTGGAAATATATTTCCCTGCACGTACGTTGGTCACGTCTGGCTGCAGGAATCGTTTGTACTTGCTGCAAATACACAGTTACTTACCATTAAACGTCCCCCTGTTGTTGTTATTCGTGTGCGCTCGGGCGTGCCCAATCCACAGGGCCGCTGTCCTCGCATAGATTCCCTGCTGCCTCGGGCGTTGAGAAGGTAAAGGATGGATGTGCATGGCTGGGCTGTTCGTGTGAATAGAGAGACCTCAGGACGGTCCCTCACCTTCCTCCTCCCCCTCCGCCTCCACTTTCAAATCATCATGATGTTGCTGCTCCTCCTCCTCCTCCTCCTCCTCCTCCTCCTCCTCCTCCTCCTCCTCCTCCTCCTCCTCCTCCCCCCACCACCTCCTCCTCCTCCTCCTCCTCCTCCTCCTCCTCCTCCTCCTCCTCCTCCTCCTCCTCCTCCCCCTCCTCCTCCTCCTCCTTCCCCTCCTCATGCGTGCCTGAACCGCTTCTACACATACCAGACCCTTGTTTACGGAAAGATAACGGCGATTTTCCCACGGACAAATGGCTTCTGGCCGTGATGTCCATGTGGATGCACGCCGGAGAAACACCAGCTTACCGCATTCGTCCTCTTTCTCCTCCTCCTCATCATCATCCTCATCCTCATCTTCATCCTTATATTCCTCCTCCTCCTCCTCCTCCTCCTCCTCCTCCTCCTCCTGCTCATCCTCCTCATCCTCATCCTCGTCCTCATCCTCCTTCTCATCCTCATCCTCCTCCCTCTCCTCCGCCTCCTCCTCCTCCTCCTCCTCCTCCTTCTCCTCCTCCTCCTCCTCATCTGTATCCTCCTCTGTCTCCTAATTTGTCTCCTCCTCCTCCTCCTCCTCCTCCTCCTCCTCCTCCTCCTCCTCTGTCTCCTCATCCGCCTCCTCCTCCTCCGCCTCCTCCTCTGTCTCTTCCTCCTCCTCCTCCTCCTCCTTCTCCTCATCCTCGTCCTCCTTCCCCTCCTCCTCCTTCTCCTCCTCCGCATCCTCCTCCTCCTCCCGCTTCCTGTTCTCAGGAGGAGGGGGCTTCTACGCGCAGCAGCAGCAGCAGCAGAACGCTGGCGGCGGTGGCTTCTACGCGCAGCAATCCCAGGCAACGGCCCACGACGGGCCCCGGAAGGGCAGACAGTGCGGGTAGAAGCAGGGGAGGGGCAAGAGGAGCAGAAGGCAGAAGGAAGGAGGCGGGAGAAAGAGGAAGGGGAGGGGGCGCAAGGGGGGATCAGGAGGAGGAGAAGCAGCCGTGGCAGCAGCATTGAATAGGGACAGGGAATGGAAAGGCTGGTTTGGGCCCGTATGTTCGCCTATGGCCAGCGCTGCTCAATCATGGAGCTGACATGGTGCGAAACAAGATTCAATTGCAAACAGGGCAGCCTCCTCCTCCTCCTTCTCCTACTCCTCTTCCCCATCGTCGTCATCAGCAGCAGCGTCAGCAGCATCATCGCCATCGTCGCCCACTTCAGGCAGCGTGGGCCACACTGGTGCTGGGTGAGGCCTCGACAGCGAGAGGTGATACGGACGTGGCGTCGCTATTCTTCTACGACCGCGTGGACATCTCCCAGTTCTACGACTTGGCAGTCAACATGGGTTGCTCACCAGTGATGCTTTACGTGTCTAACTTGCTTTAATTGAGCCCTTGAGTCGCACGATCCAGAGATGCTTACAGCTCTAAAGCGATGGTACCGCACTATGAAGTTATGGTAGCACGGAGATGAACAACATGGCGAGGATATATGTGTACGATTTGCTGGAGCACGTCAACTCACGCTACACAGAGCTCATGAATAGAGATTTCGTGGACGACCTTGTGGTACGGGCTGAGGGATTGCGACAGCTGGTACGCACCAAATTGCGAGAGGATCCGCAGCATTGGTAGAAGGTGCCCATGACCTAGGCATCAAGGTTGCAGATTAGACTGTCATATTGGGCCACAAATCAGTGCAGCAAGCAGTCATCAAGGGCATCGCCAAGCATGGGGTTAACATCCAGGCGAAGACGGACACGAGAGATCTGGGCTTCGACAAACGCACCCTTACATCGGCAAACCGCGCAAAGGCAACGGCAAAGAGGTCCAAGCGAGCCCAGATGTCAAATGCGTGGTGCCGACAGGAAGGCCACAGCCAGGATCTACATCTCAAAACTAAGAGCCAAGCGGACTCACGACGCAGCAGTAATGGGCCTTCTTGCATGTCGAACCCAGAAGGAGAGCGACAGCAGCCTCCATGGTTGGTTTCACGGTAGGAGGGCAATGCACTTCCGCCATCACGTTGCACATATCCGACAAGCAGGACCCAGCCTTGTTCAACATACGAGGGCAGACCAAGGAATGGTTTACCTTCTGGGAGCAGCAGCAGGAGTATCATGCACGTGTTCGTGTCGGCTGGCAGGCAGTCTACGCCAAGGCGCGTGCCAACAAAGCACGCGCCAAATGGAGATCGGTGACAGGGCCGATGGGGGCGCTCATTGTACCCAATGGGAGAACTAGGCTGGAAGCTGAAGGAGCCCAATCGTTGGACCGACCTGGAGGACAACGAGTGGGCCTACAACCCCCACGACACGGACACGCAGAGCCTCCATGACACTGTACATGGCCAGATCACGGCAGAACGATGGAAGAAGACGGGTCTACACCTTGACGGGTTTGGATTTGCTCGCAGTACACATCTACAGGCGGCGCAGCGCACGTTGCGCTGAATGCGCCGCAAAGGCCAATTCAAGGAGGTGGGCGCGCTCGAGAACGCGGGCAGCAGCTGGACTGCGCAGCGGACCGTGCTGGCAGGCTACGTGTGCCCTCGCTGCGGTGGAGCTACGGAAGACCTGCCCCATCGTTTTTACGAGTGCCAGAAAAATAACGGCATAGACCATGATTGGACTTGCCGCGCCCAGGACCAGGAGCGCAAATCAGTACAGTCTACGAGCGAGGAGCCCGGCATGAAACCCTTCTGGTGTTGAGGCGTGCGCCCCGCAGGATTCAACGAGGTTACAGAGGCCCCAAATTGGAATGAGTATCAAGCTGCGCACGACGTTAACTTAGATGAGGTCACTCTCCTCGAGAACGGCATGCAGCTGGAAGGCAACTACCTCCGACCCCAGCGCGCCTACCTCGACGGGTCGGTGAACCCAGCGGACCCTCGAATCGCACGTGCAGGTTGGGGAGTGGCTTTCGGTTTCGGCGGGTTCCTTGGTGCAGGGTGCTTCCCAGGACCCACTGGCACAGTTGAGCCCAAACGGTCCCCTGCGCGGAGCCAACGGCTCTACACTACTAATGTACAAACGGGCCCCCCGAGATCTGGACGGACAACGCGCTGGTTTACAAAGGGTGCCACTGCAGGTTCTGGATATACCATCAGGGACCTCACAAAAAGCTGGTGGCAGAGGATCAAAGGAGCTATTCCCCAGAGGCCCGACAGGATCGCCCGCATGAACACCAGGAAGTGCGATTCCCACCTGGACGGAGTGAGTCTGAGAGTTTCTTGACAGTCTCGGTTTGCGACCCCAGGTAGTGAGCGAGCGAATGCTTTGGCCCGACGAGGCCTGGAGAAGGCACTTAACTTGATCCAGCCTCGGCTGGATCCATTAATGTTCACGAAAATCTCCTGGCACGAGTGCACAAGCGCATAGCTGGTGTCGCTTCTGAGCTCCAGCGTCCGCCGCCGCCCCTGAGGTCAGTGAAGATAGCCCCGCTTCGGCAGGAGATCGAGCGTGTCACGGGCCACTGCGTGCAACAGTGCCCCAAAGACAAGAATTGTTGGTTTCGCTTTCAGTGTAAATTAGGGCCCGCGAGGGTCTCAGTAGATGCTTGCCTGCGAGACAACCTGTGCCATGATAGGAGGTTAGTGCTTGTTTACAACGTTCCCGTCCCGGTTCCTGCCTCGACGTCTTTTTCTTTCCGAATCGGTGGTAAGATTGTGCACATATCCCATTCGTGAACGGTGATGAACGGTCAGTTGCGGTGTACTAATTGTGCTCGTTTGGGTAGTTGCACGAGCACACGGGGAGGAAAGCTCCACCAGCTCCCAGTTCCTCGCCCAAGGGGGTCTGGCTTCAGACAGTGTCAGGGAGGTGTTGCGCAGGCGTTCAAACTGCCAAACCCCGAATGCTGCGGTTTTTTTGTTGAGCTTCACTGTCAATGCCTCGTTCTCCTGGGGCTTTGCTTTGTTTTTGTTGCTCGTTAGCATGTGTCACGCGTGCGGAGCTACACTGTCAATGCCGCGCTTTGCTGTGGCTTTGCTGTCTCCTGCTCGCAGCGCACACCGCCAGAGGCGGCGGAGAGCGTGAGAGATCCACCCACAAATGAGGGGGAGGAGGAGGGGGAGGAGGAGGGGGAGGAGGAGGAGGGGGAGGAGGAGGAGAGGAGGAGGAGAGGGGGGAGGAGGGCGGTTTTCGGGTGGCCCGATGAGACCTTTCAGTTTCCCGCCCGGGCAGACGGGCAGGCCCCTCACAGGTAGAGAGGCTCGGCCTCAAGGGCCGCGTCGTGCCTTGCTGTTGCTGCTGCTGCCACGACCGCGCCCCCTCGGCGGGCGGATCCTCCTCGTCCTCCTATTCCTCCTCCTCCTCGTCCTCCTTCTCCTCCTCCGCTTCCTCCTCCTCCTCCTCCTCCTCCTCTCCTCCTCTCCTCCTCCTTCTCCTCCTCCTCAGTATCCTTCTTTCCTTCCCCCGCCTCCGTCCTCCTCCTCCTCCTCCTCCTCCTCCTCCTCCTCCTCCTCACTCCTCCCCTCTTCCTCCTCCTAGTATTCCTCCTCCTCCTCCTCCTCCTCCTCCTCCTCCTCCTCCTCCTCCTTCCTCCTCCTCCGCCTCCTCTCCTCCTCCTCCTCCTCCTCTCCTCCTCCTCCTCCTCCTCCTCCTCCTCCTCCTCCTCCTCCTCCTCCTCCTCCTCCTCCTCCATCGGCCACTCAGACACGATCCACCTTTCTTTCTGACGTGGAGTGCCAGCAACGCCGCCTCCGCGGGCCTGCCGGCCGCCTCCACGGAGCAGAGGGCTGGGCCCCCGCGGGCCTCCCAGAAGGATTTCTGGGGCGGTTCCGTGCGAGCGCAGGGCCCTAGGACGCGGACCGTGGGGGGCTCGGCATCTGTGCGCCGCACAGGACGCAAGCCTGGCTCCTCGCTGTCGAAATAGTGCTGGGCGAGCGAATGAGAGCACGAGTCGCCCCCGTAGCCTGCTCAGCGAGCGCTGGCCTTGCAGAACTCCGAGATGCAGCCCCCGCTTGAGAGCCTGGCCGAGATCCGGCCGAGGGACGGGCCCCAGGCTGAGGACTGGGAGCGGCCTCGAATGAAGGCCAACTCGTCGCCGCAGCTCCGCCTCGCAACGCTGCTTCAAGTGCGCTCGCACGTACAGCTTATACTGGTGCAGGCACTGTCCACCGTGAGCCTTCTACCCAAGCGGGCCAGTCTGAGATGGACCAAGCATCTAGCAGAGCGAGTTGGCGCTGAGCCCAGGAACGCCCCCCCGATTCATGGGCGCGTAGGAAATCCTCCTGTTGAGGTCCTCTGGAAGCCGCCGAAGGCCGGCGCGCTGGGAGGGAACCTCGGCTCCGAGGGGCCAGGGCCGGCACTCGCCCTGGAAAGCGCGCGCCCAAGCATCGTAGGTCTGCTCCAATTTGCCTGGCGCCCCGTCTGCCGCTGCCCACAGCCAGCGTCCGAAGCGCAGCGCTCCTTCTACCTGGGATTCGAAGATGTGGGCAGACGCGGCAAGCGGAACAACTCTGGCAGAGACACGCCCCAGCAGGGACGCGCACTGCGCGGAAGCTGCGCCCAGCCCTCGTCGAGGTCGAGGTCCCCCGACCACATCAGCCCCAGCCACCGGCGTCCCTGAAGCTGCGTGGGATTGGACTCCCACCCTGGAGCGGCAGGGTGGGGGGCTCGGCGGCCACCCCCGCCACCCTGGCCTCCAGAGATCCGTGGACGACGACGGCGCACTCGGAGGTCTCAGTGTGCAGAGAGGCTTTGCAATTGAAAGCCCACTCCGCCAGAGCATTCTGTGCAAGTTGCGCCCCCCCCCCCGCCCCGTGGCGGACAGCAGGGCGGGGCCATCCGCGTGCAGGATGGCCGCCAGGCGCAGCGGCGCAGAAGCGTCCAGCACCGAGCTCAAGGTCTCCAGCGAGCGCGGCCGCCGAGGACAGCGGCGCGCCCTCGCGCAGCGCCTGGGCGAGAGCGCTGCCGCGAGGCCGGGATCTGGCGTGCCAGTGCCTTGCCAGCGGTGCCCTTCCCACATGCGAAGGACGCGAGTGCCAATCGCTTATGCCGCAGCCGGCGAGTTGCAGGACCTCCGCCGTGAGGGGGTCCGTGCAGGCGGGGAACATCAGAAGCCCCACCGCCCCCCCCCTCTCAGCAACCCCCGGGCGTATCACCACACGGGCAACTGCACTGAAGCCAACGGGGATGGAATCCGACGCGAGCATGCTCGCCAGGAGCGAGAACATGCCGCCGCGCACGCTGGCCCTCTCGTGCAGTCGCAGGAGGAGCGCCTTCCAGCAGGCACGCGCGGAGGCCTTCTGCAGATCGCGGAGCACCGCCCAGAGAGGCCGCCTTGTGTGCCCCGCCCCTGCAGCAAGCTCATGCAACGCAAGGTGCGCGTCGCCAGCATCACGGCAGCACCCGCTCTGGCAGGGGAAATGGGCGCGCGAAGCTGCCAGGCCAGCCCGCCATCCATCTGCGATTTCACCATGATGAGCCGGAAATACCCTCCAGGGTCTAGCGGGCCTTCTCTTGTGCAGTGGGGCTGGACGGTTGCCCCGCCCGGCCGCCAGTCGAAGGGCGAGAAATTCCCTGGCCCCGTCAGGCGGAGCGCCCACCAGACAGCAGCCACGAGACCCTCGTCTACCAGCTGGAGGGCCTAGCGCAGCACCAGCCTTGGCGTAGTGGTTCTCGTGCTGCCCATCGTGGCCAGAGACGATTCGACTTCGTCTTGCTCGACGGGCGCATCGCGCGCCTCCCTGCCCCGATTGGCCCGCGCACGCCCCGGGACCGCAGGCGGCGCCCCCAGCACAGGGGCGCGGGGAGTCGGATCCCCAGGGCCTGGCCAGCTCGACCCCTCCTCCTGCTGCTGGCACGCTGCCTCGCGCGAGGCGTCGAGGGTCAAAGTCTCGCCAGCCGTCCCCCCTCAAAAAGGGGCGCAGGAGCCCGGGTTCCTCTTCGGGCGCAGGCGCCGCAGGCATCTCACTGCCCGCTCCTGCGCTGTCCCAGGCCCCCCCCCCATCGAGGGCCAGCCACGCCACGCCTCGCAGCGCCTGGGCGCCGCGCGCGCTTCGGGCGGCCCGGGCGGTCCTTCGGCACCACCCGGCCCGCCAGGATCAGGCCCAGAATCAGGTGCAACAGCCAGGCGGTGGCGCCCCCCAGCCACTGCGCCGCGCGCGCGCGCCCAGCGGTCTCGAGGCAGCGTTGGCCTCCCCGTCGTCGCAGTAATACTGCAGGATGCCCGCGCACGCTCCCAGGGCCGGGCGGGCCTCTGAGGGCCCCTTCGGTCCAGGAGCTCGCAGTGTTCCACCGGCGTGGCATGCGAGTGGTGCCCTGGCCATGAGTTACACGAGGGGCAAGAAAAGGGATAGCGAAGTCGATCCGACAAAAAATCTTCGTACGCGGATTCCACGCAGCCTTCCCGGCTGCAGCCGCCCTCTCCCCGGCAGGAGAGGCCGTTGTGCACTCTCTTGCGACGCCGTGGGCAGCACGGGAAACGACAACGACGTCGATGCAGCGAGGCCTGTCCCCATCCATGGTGGGTGTCTCCAGGGCGGAGGGCAAGACTGCGGCGCCTGAGGGGGAGCCACACAAGTCGTCGGGCCTTGTCCTGAGGAAGGGCTGAATGCGAAAGCCCCCAGGTGCTAACAAAACCTGACCAGTGGCGGGACCGGGCTCGCCAAGGAAGAGGACGAGGAGGACGAGGAGGAGGAGGAGGAGGAGGAGGAGGAGAAGAAGGAGGAGGAGGAGGAAGAGGAGGAGGAGGAGGAGGGCAGCGGGAGGGAGGAAGGGGAAGGGAGGGAGAGGGGGGCGGGGGCCTTGTGAGGCGGAGAAGAGGAGAAGATGAGGAGGACCTGACAGGAGGAGGACGAGGAGGAGGAGGAGGAGGAGGAGAAGGAGAAGGAGGTGGGGCGGCGTGTGGCGGTGTGGGGCGCTTTCTGCACCGGGCAGGCAGGCGGCGGGGGCGGCGGCTTCTACGCCCAGCAGGAGCGGCTCTGCTGCGCGGGCGCTGCTCCTCTCCTGCGCGGGGGCGGGGGAGAGCAAGCGGAAGAGGAGGAGGAGGGAGGAGGAAGAGGAGAAGGAGCAGAAGGAGAAGGAGGAGAAGGAAGAAAAACAACAAGAAGAATAATAGAAGAAGAAGACGAAGAAGAAGAAGAGGGCGGGAGGGAGGGAGGGAGGGAGAGGGTCAGTCCGCCTGGGCGAAGTTTGGCTAGGAGACGGCGCAAACCCCCGTCCGGGGCAACCGCTGCTCGGTCTGGACCCGAACGGCGGGCGCTCCCAGGGGGAGGGTTGCGCCAGCCGGGGCTTTTAGCAGCGCCACCCGGGAGCGCTGACGGGACACAGTCAACCCACACAGTCAGGATGAGCAACTTCCCAAGGGTACCTTTGCATCCTTGCCTCTTCGGTCATCTTCGGCCCATCCTCAACCACTTTCGAAGGCCAGCCCCGCTCTAAGAGCCTCGGCATGGGCGTCCAAGGCGCCTGCACCCCTACCGCGCATCCTTACTGTACGGGTTGACTGTATGCGTTTTAGCGCGCCCCCTACATTCTTGCGTAGTACGTCTACGACGATGCCAAGCGATGCTTCAAAGATCGTACCGTTCCGCGAGCTTCCGCGGCGACGAGGCAAGCGGCAAGAGCAGCACGGGCGGCAAGCGCATCGCGCACCGCTGCGACGCGGCGCACTGTGCAGCGCAGCGGCCGTCCACAGGCCTGGCGCCGTCGCCCGCCGCCTGCCGCCGCCCAGCCCGGCCCAGCCAGCTCGGGCGCCGCGCGCCTGCGCCCTGAGGTGGAGGAGGAGGAGCGAGGAGGAGGAGGAGGAGGAGGAGGAGGAGGAAGCCACGGGCTGAGGGGGGCGGGGCCGTCGTCGCCGTCGGTCGCCCCCTCGTGCTCGGGCTCGCGCGCCGCGCGCCATCGACGCCGCGGCCGCGGCAGGCGCCCGCCAGGACGCCGCGGGTCTCGGAGCCCGCCTGGCATCGTCGCCAGCGCCAACAGCGAGCGCAGGCGAGGACCCTGCTGAGGGTCGTGTCCGCTGCCAGGACGCTCGCGGCCCACCATTCCGCTCAGCCTCAGGACCAGCTCGAGACGATGACGAGAGGAAAGGGAGGCAGCAGCGGTGCCCCGATAGGTGAAAGACAATTCCCGTGGCGAGAAGACCGTGCTGCACGTGACCGAGCAGGAAGCCGACGACGTTCTCAACAGCACCACCAGCACGACCAGCGCAGCGTCAACGACAGAGGACAACGCCACAACTACTACCACAAGCAGTATGGAAAGACCAACTCCAGCAACGAGAACGAGCACCACAGTTACCACAACTACGACTCCAGCTGGAAGAAAGGCTCGAGGACTCGAACTACCTCACGAAAGGCATCGCGTACTTCGACAGCCAGGGACAACGGCCACGACGTCTTCGACAGCTTGCAGTTCACCAGGAAGCAGCGCGAGATCATCGACACGGTGATGCCAGCAATGGAGCACGACATGGTTCAGCATGAGAGCTACTCGCACCCACCCATGGAGAAGGACATGCTCCAGCTTTGGATCAGCACCAAGAAAGGACGTGCAGGGCGACTCGCAGACCAAGCCAGTGGAGCCAGAGCCGTGGGCGTGGACGACACGAAAGTTGTGGAGGAACTGGCCATCACGAAGGCGATGATACTGCTCACGGTTTCGGCAGAGGAACGGGTCGACTACTACAGGCACTGCATCGACAGGACGATCAGGAGGAAGGGCATCATCAGGGACAAGATCAAGCAGCTCCAGAACGAACACGACGGCATCGAGAGCGACCTCAAGTCATTACGGGCCCTGATGAAAGAAGCGAAAGACAAGCGCGACCACGACCTCTACTCGGATCTTGAGGACGACGACTACTACGGAGACCAGGAAGAGCACGAGCGAGCAGCACATGTGGTACGAACTGCACGAGCACAAACACCACATCCGCGAGCACGCGAGGAGCGACGCACAACGGACGCACCCCATCCACGACAGCGCGAAGATCATCGACCCCAGCAGTACGCAGCACCAGCAGCAGCACCACTTCGACAGCAGGACGACCCACACCAAAAAGGTCACAAAGAGCTGCTCGCGATGATCACGGACCTCTCCAAAAAGGTGGACCAGCAGCGACAACACACGGGACCCCATCAGCACCACCTAGCTCACCTCCACCAACAAGCTGATCTCCGACAATCCGAGCACCGCGAACAGTTGCAGGAGGAGATTGCGCGCATGGAAGCACACACGTCTCGGAAGGCCTTCAACGAGCTTCATCTCGAACTACAGCACCACGAGCAACGACTCCAGCGCCGCTTCCAGGAGGAGATAGACGAGATCAACGTGCGCAACCGCCACCTAGAACATCAGCAGGCACAACGGTTCCTACGACAGTCCGAACAACGACGTCAGGAAGATGAAGCTGAACAGGCACATCGCATGAAGACCGAGCTCGAACAGCACCAACTACTTCACGACGCCGCACGTGGTCACCTTGCACGGCGGGAAGCAGTACAGCAACACGAACTACGGGAGGCTAAGCCATTTTGGCTCCAGCATCTAATATCCGAGCACCGCCTTCAACAGGAGGAAGCTCAGTGTGCTCACAACCTCCTACTTCAGCACGAGATGAGAGGGCAGCAACAAGAAGACGCACTTCGACTGGCTCAGCAACGACAGCTTCATGAAATCAACTGCAGGGCTCATGCGGAATCATCGGCACTCATGCAAGCCAAAGAGAAGATCCTCGAGGAGTACGGTGAACTGCGTGCGCAACAACACGAAGCAGCCACGATTCGCACCGAGCACCAGCACGAACGAGCCCGACTCCAAGGCGAACGTGCCAACCTACACCTCACCGAGCAGCAGCTCCACGACAGGTACATCAACCGCCTGGCGACGACCGAGGAGATGCGAATAAAGGAAAGGGAGGAAATGCAACGTGAGTTTCGACAAGCCGAGCTTCTTCATGACCCTCTTGATCTTGAACTGTTGCAAGAATTGAACACGAGATTCAGCGAGAGAGTCGAGGAGGAGAACAGACAGCAGGCGTTAGCCGACACAGAGGAGAAGCGCATCCACCGCGAGATCGAAGGCGCCCTCACCGCGATCATCCCAGGCCCCTACGAGCTGCCTCACCCACACGCTGACATCTACCTCGAGCAGCTACGACAGATGAGCTCTCCACCGAACGCAGCTCATTCCACGTCCAACTCAGACGCATGGAGCTTACGAGACCTCGGCGTTGCAACCGCACCACCCACCTCACCACCCGCCCCGAACCCCGACCACACCCACGACAGAACGCCCACACACCCTCCAGCCAGTATCGCCCCACTCAGCGATGCCGACCACGACAAGCCCTCTGAAGCACACCACGGCGATACACAAGCACACCAATCGAGCTCTCCAAGATCTTCGTGCTCTCCCACGCCCATCGCCGACGACGGCTACCTCTCTCAGCACGACGACGGACAGTCTACGCCCATTCCTGACCTTCATCACGACTCCGACCTCGAAGGCACCGACACCCCCATCCCAGCTGCGCAGGCCACTCCCCCCACCCCACACATCATCTTCCCCGAAGTGCGTGCCATGTCCGCCCCCCCCGACACGAGATCGACACCCGACGACCAACAGCGATCCACGCCCCTTACCACAATTCTCATCGATCTCAGCGACGACGAGCACGAAGTACCCACCACGCCCAAGACTCGACCGATCACCAGCATCACCCCAACCCAAGCCTACAGCCCCATCATCCCTCCACCCAGATTCCATATGGGAACGCCCGACAGGGCCCAGTCAGCGCCACCCTCACGAACCCGATCGGCCCTCAAGAGACAGGACTCCACATCACGACCACCGCGGAAGGTCCGCATCCACGACAGCGGTGACGGCTTCGTGGACATATCCGACCGCGTCCCACTCCGTGCCGATCCCGACGATGAAGGATCGGACACCGCGCTGCGTCCAAAAAACTAGATACGAACGACCCCGATGAGGGCGCTCTGGCTCATCGGACCCGTCGAAAAAGACCAGAGCAACAGGCCCCTGGGCGGCCTCAAGCGACCATATGCAACTATCGGCCCAGCGCCACACAGCATCACAATGTCACAGACGCAGCAACGAACCTTGCGACCCCTGCGGTGCAGGTAACTTGCAGCTTCAGACACGCACACCCACCCCGCCTTCCACTAGGGAAGCATACACCGACTGACCTCGACAGGCTGACACCCGCTTTGGGGACTGCGGATCAGCACCGAGCGCCAGGCAACATAGACAGCCGACTCTGCCATCTTCCCTCCTCGACAGCAGACTCCACTAGCTTGCAGACCGCAACCAACCTGACGACCCAGGGGGTGCAGGTGACTTGCACTTCTGACAGCCACCTTCCGACACACACCACCAGTCCACGTGCACTGACTCCTGCTTTGGGGACAGCAGATCAGACCCGACGGACAACGGCAGCAGTTTCACTTGCTGCACACTACCAGCACGACGCAACCGATGGACAACCAACAACTATCCACCATAGGCGCCACCCGACCGAAGAGTGGGAAATCCACTCGAGCGGTTCGCGCCCCCACCCAAGCTCGACTGCCATACTGGGGAGGGTCCCCCCAGATGGCACCTCGCGCAGGTTGACACCTCCACGAGCGCCACCTGGCTCCTACGCCGCCACCTCCGACACATCGCCAAGGCACGACCAACCTCGCTCCACCATCTCTGAGAGCACTCAGCGTGTCATGCCGACCACACCATGGGCGAGGCCAGGCGACGAGACGAATTGGCTACATACACCACCCCGACTCGAGCGACCCAAGACCGACGTCACGGTCACCACAACTAGCCATTTTGGCTCTACGCATGCACGGAAATTCAACGGCTCCGACGTCCACAACGAGACGCCCGAGTACCATAGTGCGATCACGATAGACTACTTCCCTGGGATCGAGGATACCTTCCTCGATAACAGCAGCGAG